CTCATTGTAACTGAAACTTAACTTCTAATAAAAAGTTATGGCCAAAGAGGTCACCTTAACACCGAAAAAAAAAAAAAAAAATTAAATACATTTGGCATATATCATTTATTGAACTTTTAAAAGCCATCAATACTGTAATAACACCCAATCATATTAAAAATAAATTAGGATTAGTTTAAACAATGCAATTTAATCTGAAATACATAAAAGTAAATTTTAAATCATTTTAAATAAATTTGGATTAGCTTAAACAATGTAATTTACTCTTTTGTAATAGCCCTAACAAACTATTACTATATTTAATTATGCAAAATAAATTAATCCACTTTGAAAACAATTGATACAATATAAAGTAAATTTATTGAATCATGCATAATATAAATTATCTATTGTTATGAAGAAGAAATCTAAATTTTTATGTAATTAGGATTTTGAATAAACAAATTTTATGCATTCTAAAGTAATTAATATATAAGGAAATTAAATTATCCTAATTCAAGAAAACATTTACCTTTAATGCAAATTTGGAATAAAATAATTATTTTAGATAAGGCTATGTAAAGTTAATTAATTGGTTCTTATAACCAGCTAGGTTAAATTTTGAAATTTTTGTAAAAAAATTTTTTATATGTTTTAATAACTGGATAAGTTTTTTAAAAAAAAATTTAAAAAAATTTATAAAATTGTTATATATAAAATTTAAAAAAAAAAGCCGGCCAACCAGGTTTATTTAAAAAGTTTTATGTTATAAGAACCAATAAATTAAATTTAAATGACCTAATTCACAAAAATTCAATTTAGTTTGAATAATTTCAAAATAATTAAAGAGTATCTATTTTTATTTAAATTTAAGTATATTAATATAAGTTAATTAAATTTATTTTGAATAAATCAAAATAATGTGAAATTATTATCGTTAAATATAATATACAAAATATTTTTAGTAAATATCATTATTTAAATAATTTGAACTGATTTGATTTAATTTAAATTATCCTAGATACTTTCAATCAGTTTTTAATTTAAATTTATAAAATATTATTATATATTTTTAATATTATTAATACTTATTTATATTTAATAGATTTATTTATTTCAATTAATTTTAATTGATTTGATATAAGAAACTAGCAATCACTATAATTTTTCTATTTATCTTACATGATACATTTATCTTATAATTCTAAAATAAATTGAACTATTGTGAATTAAATTTAATTATCTTAATTTAATTCGATTGTTTTTTAATTTAAATTTATAAAATATTATTATATGTTTTTAATATTATTAACACTTATTTATATTCAATAGATTTATTTATTTCAATTAATTCATGATCTGTCTCCGAACTAGTGAAATTAGTTAGTATTATATGGGGTGAATTTTGTAGATCATTTAAGAAAAAACTAGCAAACTGCAGTTTTTAAGCATAAGATAGCACTGTCAAAAAAAAACTTGTTCATGCCTAATATATAACAAAACATATATAAAAACCCCAAGAATGCATCATTAAACTTTTTTTTTTGTTAATAAAAAAAAAAAAAAAGTTATTTGCTGACAATGCCAAATTTCAAGATAAAAACTGATTTGTGACTTTACTCTCGTTATAAGTAGTTTATATAAAAACCCTCTCAATATAGTGAATTTACTCAAAATTTACTATCAGACTCTTGTTATAGTGAAGAAAATTTCATACCCGATTACTTCACTATAACGAGAGTTACTTGTATTATTAAAATTAGAGACCTTATCTATTTTTTGATCTTATTTTCGAATAAAAAACCAATTTTTTGAAAAAAATAAAATCAAAAAATGGGTTATAATGTTTCTATATTACTATTTATATGCAAAGCTATATAAAACTTTATTACTAAGAATCCCATATTACAATTTATACTTTTCTAGAATTGTCAAATTATACTTAGTTGAGCTGTATGCTTATGATATTGATGAGTATAATGATCTATCTAGCTTTGAATGGTAGATACTTTTGGAACAGCTTTGGCCTCAATTTCATCTTCAAGTACCTTTTGCTGAAGAGCTTTATACATATCTTGTGCGATATAACAAACATTTTTATTTGCATTACTAGCTAAAAAATATCCTTCTAATATACTTCTTACCTTTTTTGTAATTCTTTTTCTAGTTCCCTTTTTTCCATATTTTTGCTTCTCTTTTAATGCCCATTCTAATAATAATAATAAATTTACAGTATTCAACCTAAAATATAATGTAGTATATATAAGTGTATTTTATAGCATTGAATTGAATATAATCATTTTACTTATTATTACTCATATTGGTTTTTTTAACAAAAACACTTAGATTTATATCACGACCTATATTATAAATGATTATATTGTAAATGCACAATTAGTAATAAAACTATCATACCTGATTGCTTATCTAATTTAGCATTTTTGATATCATTTTCTAGCTGGATCTCCAAATTTGATATTAATGTACTTCTGTTTTCTTTCTCATTTGCCTCTATCCCTCTCAAGTTTAGTTCTTTTATCAATTTTTTTTTATTAAGATATGTTGGATTAAGGTCTAATAATTTAAAATCAATTATTATTAGAATAAAAAAAATATTGATTATTTTAATAAATAAAAACTTGTGTGTAGCATTTGGAATAGGTATCTCCTAGTTAGAACAAGGCATGGTAGGAGTAGAAATCTTTAGAATATCCTTTTTGCATAATTTTTCCAAGTCTGTGGATGAAAATATGTTCCAATTCCCAATATTAGGAATAGCTCATGCCAAAATACATCTAGCAAGCTTTTCTGTAGTGGGCTATTGCCACTCGAACCAATTTAAATTACCGGATAAAGAATTTTTTCTACTACCTAATTGTCATACTACTATATATTAGCATTGATATAAATATCTTTGAAAATAGAAATATTTTTAATTTTATTTATTATTATTACTTTAAAATATTATATTCTTGGAAAGATTCTAAATCGTATAAATACATTATTGTAGAGTTTATTTTTAAAACTAACCTCTATTTCGATTTGGTTTTAAATTTGCTACAGAGGTATCACAAATATTTTGAATAGCATTTTCTATATCCTGATCTTCAGAAATATCAAATCCCAAATATACATAGCGATTAATAGTATAAGAAATCTGTATAAATCAGATTAGTTAGAAAATATATTAAAAAATATTAATTAAATACAAGATTACATTTGTTACCTGAGCATGGTGTGAATCAATCGTGGTTTTGGCCTCTCTAGCCTCCAAAAATACCTATTTTTCTATTTGAATTCTGTACCATTTTGGCCAATAACTCATAATTATCATAAGATCTGCATTATAGTAATGACTATCATTATCTGACATAATAATTACTAACTTTATTTTATGTTTCAATACTTTCATTACTGCATGAAGAGACGAAGCAGTAAACCATGAATCCTGTCACATATCTGCGAACTAGTGATCAAATACCTGAACTCTTAATCTTGTTAAACTATTATATGTTGTATATACTAGCACTGAATGGAGTGTCCACTTATTTTTTCTAAACCAATCTTGCTTTGTTTCTCGAGCTGATTTGGGCAATATTTTCATCTTGTAATCTACAAGAATTAAAGCCTTATATTCATCTAAATCTAATAAGTTCGCATTAAATTGTCCATTTAAATAGACTTTGCATGTTTGGTGAGCTATATAATAATATAGATAATCTTGCAATTCAGCTAGTTTCTCATGAATATCTTCTTCAGAATTATTTTTCAATTTAACAAAAAATTCAAATATAGCATTATATTCATCACAGATACGGGAATGAGGTTGGCAATATTCTCCGAATGCATATAATAAGCAATGATTGATGCAGACATTATGAGATGTTGTTCCTTTAGCTGTGATGTGAAAATGTGATTCATATTCTCATTTTAAAAATCATTTTAATTTCTCACAATTTCCTAAGAGTCTTGTTTAATAAGTTAAATTAATAATAGATAAAATAAGTTTGGTTTTTCAAAGTCACTCTTATTATCACCAGAGAATAAATCAAGTTAAAAGCATTCAACTATATTCAACAGGAAAAACATTTGATAATTTACATACCTGAATATGATGGCATTTTATATTACCCCGAATATATTCACTAATGTCATCAAAAGTATCATACCTATATTTTGAACAGGTTTGACAAAGTCCACCCAAATTTTCACAGTATACATACTGATTTCCTTGTAATTGCATATAAAAACTTGTATGTTTCATACCATCTGGGTATTCTTTGTGAAACTGTTCCCAAAGCACATTCATTGAATCTTTTAGATAATAAACAGGCTCATTGGTTACTAAATCAGTTTTATATGAGCTCATTATTATATTTGCTTTGTTTGCCAAAAATTGTTGAATTTGTTTCCATTTTTTAGCTAACATTTTTTCATATGTGACTGCAGGTTTGTTTTTAATTCACCCACCAGGGCCACAAACATGTGCATGTTTTCTAGCAGCGATTATAGCATCATTTGAAATCTAAATAGTACAATTCAAAATAAGTAATTAGGTTTGAAATATGTTATTTATTTTTACAATTTATAATTCTAAAACTAACCTTCAGGTTTTTTTTAATTTTTTCATAAAAGAATGCATTTGCAATAACAGACAAAATACGACATTTGCCATTATCACCACATATATTAATATCTAAAGAATCTTTAAAACATTGCCAAAATGTTACAGTATTATTTTTGAGATGCTTTGGTATTGGATTCAAAAATCTATAAGTATACAATGCCATTAATGAAGCTTTGTCTGCATTTGGGTTTGCTAACCTTAACCAAAATCTAAACTGTAAAATAAAATAAATAAATAAATTTGGTTGCAAATTGCTATAAGCTGAGGATCAAATGATAAAAGATAAGGGTGTTCCCAATATGATACCTGTAGGGTGAAAAGGAGAAAGATTGTTTGATTGGTATAAAGATATTTAAGGGCTGCTTGGTTGTAAAGGAAGTTTATTATAATATATACCTCTGATTGATCTTTTTCGAAGAGTGTTATTTCTACACAACCAACATGTCTCAACAAAGATTCCTAGGCACAATATTCACAATCACCTATTACATATTCTTTTGGGTATAAGCTTTGTAAAGCTAATCATAATTCAATAATAGTATTCTCATATAATACCCAGTCTTGAAACAGTTTTGCCAGTTAACCTGTGTGCTAGTACGTCGTTTGAGATGATATTTATACACTAATATCATTAAATGTTTATTGGTCTAATCTAATAATGAACATATAGAAACATAAATATTTTTGATAAGATTTTGAACATATTGATTATCAAGTCCAAAAAGCTAGCAACCTCTAAACTGTTTTAGATAACCAACTTGATTCCAAACAGAATCTGAATCACAGCTAATGAAAGTTTTTTCAAGCTTATTTCCATCCATGTATATTGTAATTCTGCATTTACTGAATTCTAATTCTTGAAAAAAGATACTATATTGTCTATTATATAAGTAAATAAAAGCTGACTTGAACCCAAACTCGGCAAAGCTAAATTTTTCATTGTTTGATTTTCCAACTCCAAGTATCCATATTTGTATTTACTAAAAGAATAACTGAAAACTTGAAATAGCAATTCATGAAGATACTCTTTGACAATTTCAGGTGTATCATAACCCATAACTTCTGGTCCCGAAAAATTAGTTTTTGTTTGAAAAAGTTTTTGGTATACTGTTGTGATAGCCATACTAGGTGCTCTACAAATCTTACTTTGAACACTGTCACACTTACAAACATAACTTGGATACAGTCCAACTTCAGACTCTAATTGTCTAACTTCAATAATGAAATCATGTTCATTTAAAATTACTAGAAGTTTAGATTGAATATGAATAGGATAAAGAAAACAGGGGTTATTAATTTTTTCTGATGGTCTTGAAATCCACTAATTATGACAAAAGGGTCCAAAATGTAAATATTCGACCAAGTGGCTATGAGAAATTAAGGTAATTTTATATTTCTTACATTTTATCATAAAGAAAAAAAAAAATTTACTAATCTCTAACTTCCTGTATATATATATTTTTTTTTCTTTGATAACCTCGCACAAATTTATTAGACGTATGTAGATTTAAACTAGCTAAACTATCTAAAATCAT